GTGATTGCTTTCTGAAGTAATGAGTTTTATTTCTAGTGTTCTGGAGACTTTGTGGTCCTGCACAGAATTCATTAAGGAAAAGTTTTATAAGATACCTGGTTTTTCTTCTTTTTTTTAACACTTTTTGGAATATGTGTTCTAATAATCAATACAACTCATAGCAGTTGAGAACTATTGGGATATCAATGTAGGATCTCTACACGATAGAAGAGGTCAGTGTTCCACTTATGCTCCTGAAAGAATTGAGTTGATTTAACTCAGTTCACCAGTGCATCTCACAGATTGCAGTAACTTTCTGTTAAAGCTTTCAACTTCATGTGAAATAAATTCATTAGCAATAATTTTTCTCCTTCTTTCTCCTATCATCCATTCCATACACAACTGAAAGCAACTATTAAAATCTTATTTAATGTAATGGGGTTAAAAAGTAGGGATAGGAACTCCTAGTACAGTTTTCTAATAGTTGAGCTGAACAGACAAGTGCTGGCATTCCCTTGGTCATACTAAAAGTCTCTATATTGCTTCAACCATGGTCTCAAAAGGCTTGATCAGAAAGATATATGACTTGAGAAGCAAAAGAAGCAGGAAAAAACTGTTGGCCTCAAACCTCGACATCAGCCCAGTGGGAGGAAGATTGCTCCCCTCTCCCTTTTTGAACTCTTCCCTTAAATGTTGAACTCACCCAGTATAGAACAATTGCCAAATAAAGCAAAGTACAGGGAGCAAGCTGGCAAGGAGGTGACAGATTAGTTTTGAAAACAGAAAGGATATGTTTCTATGATTAATGATATTACTTGATTGCATAATCATTTAAAGACCATCAATGTGAAAATTACAAAATAGCAAAGCTGCATTCAGGCTCATAAAGCTCAAGACACCAGTTCTGTTAGAGCTATACCAGCCTTTTCTTTCGAAAGGTGTACATCAATTCTTCAGATTTGAAAGGAGTCAGCTAACATGCTTCTACAGTAAGAACAATTTAAACAAACAAACAAATAATCATTATTTTCTTACACACAGAAAAACATGAGTTGCTGGAGAAAATTATGATCTGAAGTATTACTTAAGTGAAAAATACAAGGCAGTTGACACAGAATTCCCAACCACATACATCTGCGTATGACTAAGGATATAAAACAAGATCTCATGTGACCTTTAAATCTGAGACATAATGATTGGCCTATAATACTGCGAGTACGCTCCCAGCTCTCCTGAAGTCTTACTAAAAAAAAACTTTTCAAGACACACTTCTCTCCCCCTTATAGGCAAATGCCTTTGCTGCCAAGAAAAGCAAGCAAGGGAGAACTGTAGGAAATTCGGCAGAAGTTGTATGGCATGTTAGGAAAATCAGGCAATTAGCTCCCAGGCATGCTATCCCCAGCTGCAGCTGATAGAAGCTGCAAGCATAGAGGTAGCCAGTGTAACCACCCAGACCAAGCTGCAGGAAGTAGCTGTAACCAGGCACTGTAGGATAAGCTGAAGCCAGGCTACTGCTTTACCAGGCACATGGCAGCTTCGCCTCTTTCGCTGACGGCGCAATCCAGCAGTAACAATGGTCTCACTTCTACGCCACCATCCTTTGTACTAAGCATGGCATTTAAATTCATTTTGCTTCTTTCTTAAAAATATTTTTAAATCCACTGAAATGGAAAAGATCACTTTTTTATATATCAAGAAACTATAGTAGGATGCTACCGTTTAGATACTCTAAATTGGTCTGTTTTCATGTTTTGTTCTTCTCTTTTATTTTTTTTATTTTTATTTTTTTTTTAATAGCTCCTAGGCAACTCCAGATTTCTTTTTATCTCCCCCATCCTCTTACTTGACCTTGACTTGGCTGCACTCTCAGCAGTAATTTGTGGTTTAACAGCTTATTCCAATCCATTTTCCACGATTAATAGTTTCTGAATTACTTTCTTACATTAGAAGGTAGGTGAAGATCCCAAAACTGATGCAGATATGGAATATTTCTGGTTATGTGGAGAGCTATTTATCAAAAACTATTCCTTTTTCTTTCTGTTTTCTCCCTCTCCCTCTTTTCATGCTTTCCACCCTTGTGCTTCTCACCCACCCTCATCTACACGCATATGGAAAAAACACCCAACCTTAAAAAATCATACTGTATCCAAAGACACATTTTGGTTGGCAGCATCTCGATCCAAACTTCAATATAGGTTCTACTGGTCATTATTAAATATTCTAGTGGAATGTAAAATAACTGTCTCAGCTCTCAAATGCTGTTGCCTTTTCTTAGAAAAATGGCTGAAAAAAGGTACTAGCTTTAAGAAATCTTTAACCTTATTTTTGTGGACCCAAACCTCAGCTAGGCAAAAACTGGACAGAAACAAGCAGTAGCATCCAGAAAACCTTGGTAAATAAATAAATAAATAAATAAATAAATAAAACTCTTCTCCTCACTTCCAGTTAGCTACTAGCTGAAGTACATTCCAAAGTACTCAGCATGATCATTTAAAAACTGTTCCAAAGACTACAATATCTGCAGTTCAGATTTTTAAAGTAATCAGAAAACTGAGATAATAATAATAATTTCTATTTCCATTTTGAAGCTTTCCTATTGGAAAAAAAGAACAAAAACAACAAACCAACAAAAAAAAACAAACAACTTACAAAATACTGTCATAAAAACTGTTTACCATAAAGTAGGGATATATTTAATACTTGGAGCGTGGCAGCTAAATTCAACCAACATACCCTTATTTAAAAAAATAGCTGCAGTTATTTTACAAATAATTAAATAAGTTAAAGAAACATAGCCAGGCCCACAAAAAAAAACCTCCCCACCATTTTCTTTGATAAGTCAGCCACGTATTCTGGCTTGCTTTGGGGCTGAAAAGCAGTATATGCTTGCCCAGTGATACTAATCTAAAAAGATGCTTATCAGCAAGTTAAAAGGACTTGCAGACCCAGCCTAGAAGCAGGTAAGGATGGAAATGGGGAAAGGAAGGAGACTTACAGCAGAAGAGAACAGAAGAGTTTCAGCATCAATAAGTCAGAACCTATGATGACTCATGCACTCTTCAGATGACCCGAAAGTAAGTTACTTAGAGGATTTAGATTACCAATTATTATTCAAGCTGTCTTACAAGAATTTTTATGATGACTTTAAAAATGTGATACTGCAAACAATGGGGGGTATCTAATAATATTTAAACCTACCTCCTCCCTTAATCTTCAGTATCTAATCTTTCTTCAGCAATCTGAACTAGTAAACATGAAAACGTAAAAGGAAAACCAAACAAACCCCAAAAAACCACAATTGTATGAAAATTCTATGGCTTTGAAATCCATTTTCTATTGAAAAACAGTTGCAGAACTCGCTAACTCTTTAGCACCTTAATGAAGATGATATATCAAAAAGCTTTGTGTTATGAATTAAAATAGTACTATTCACCCTGTAAGTGATTCCTTCTACACCCTATTCTGATTCAGTCTTAGAACTGTTCAAAATAATGATATTGAAAAATTCTGATCTGATGGAACTCAAGAATGGAATCCTTAAATGGAAAGTTATTCAAGTTATTTGATTAAGTTAGCACATCTCAATCCTTAAACAGCTTTGACTATTTTTGGAAACTGAGCTTGATAGCATATCAAATCAACACAAATCTGTCATTATATTCAATCATCTAAAAAACTCAATGAAAAAAAACCATAGACATACGAAGATAACAGATAATATTTTAAACCACAGATTCTGTGTCTACTGTGAGGTCACCTCCCAAAATGTCACAGTGAATACTGATCAAATCCTTCGCATTACTGCAATTGCAACACACAGTGAAGTCAGATAAATGTACTTGCAACGATAACCCCTTCATGAAGATTTCCATCATGACACTGTCAAACTACATAGCAGAACAATTTCCAGTACTCAGGTTTAATCAAGCTAGACAAAAATGTTGGAGACGCTCCAACTGTTTTATGGCTTAGGGCATCAAAAATCCTGAGATCACTTCCCAAATGCAGTCAGATGCTATATTTCCCAGACTTGGAATCCTAGCTTCCTTGACACTCTACTACTGACCCCAGGAAATTCCAGTATAGCAACTCTATGTCCTCCTCAGCAAAAGAAAAATGTAGCAGCACATCAAGCTGTACTTCTTCAAAGATCCATGCATAAATAGTGATTTTAAATGAAACATCAGCTTTTCAGGATTTAATTACACAGCACCATAATCCTAAATTTTTTACATTCCTGGCTGTTTCAATCAGCAGGACTGTTGCCTTATGGACATCTAGAAATGCCTGCTGCTCATGTGTGACAAAACTTAACAGCATAAAGATGGTAAATGGCTAACAAAACTCCATATGAAGGAAAAAAAGTCTTTTCTAGCCTACAGATACCTGCTTTGAAAAATTTATTTTTCAAATAAATCCTATTCACTGTCACATTTCAGAATTTTAGATTTATTTTTTTAAATTTGAAAACTGGTCTTCTCTTTGTTTTGAGCAAGATCATTTAATTGCTGTCTCAAACTTGCAATAAAAATAATAGTCACTATGTACCAAATCAAAAAGGTAAATCCAAACTGCTTCTTTATTCACAAATGTGTTCTTTCTCACAATACCAATGACCATTTACAAGTTTCAGTGTTTTCTGCAGCTGATTTACTTGAGGAAAACCTATTGTAAAATTTTAGCAGTAGCATCTTTGCATTCATGAACTTCTACCTAAAAAACTCCTTTGACTGGAAGTCCAAAACTAGAGGTAAAAAATCCTAGATTTTAACTTTAATCTTCCTAAAATGGTAATGTTTTTGAAAGCAAGTGAGCATTTTTTACTTGTACATATAAGAGTTTATCTCAAGACTGACAGACATAAAAGCATTTGTGGTTTATGCATCTAATTTAGAGACATAATTAGAGAATAACCTCACCATACAGTTTGCAAAGAACTGCAGAAGCTCCCAACTCCTGCCTGATTCCATTTGATTTACATAAAGAATCCTATTTATAATAAGACAGCTGAGAAGTCTTACCTGAGTCTGCTTCATTGCCCTTTCCATTCTGCGAGTACTTCCTTTCTCAAGCTTGGTCCGCAGGAGTAAGGCTGATGTCTGAATGGCCCAGAACTTTGGCTGAGAGAGCAAGCACTGGAGAGAAAAATAACATTTTTTTTTATTATTTCATTTTAAAATACACTGAAGACAGTTAAGTTTTTAACAGTGTTCTCAAGTATTAATGCTGTTTCGTATTCTGAAAGTCAAATGTATGGTTAGAGTACTTATTTGATTACTTGAAAGTTGTGCAGATTACCTTCATCTATTTTTAATACAAAAGGCAGCCATCAAAACTTATTTTCCATTTAGGTACATGTACCTAAATGGTGCATACACCAAACTGCACAAACTAAAATGGCTACTCAGAATGGAAGGAAAATAAATAATTTGATCCTGATCAGTCTGGTTCAGCTTTCTCCACAGCTGCAAACTGGACAGTTGGGAGAGAGAAGCAGGGATCCTATTTCTTAAGGCTGAAGAAAACCAGTTCTCTGGTTTTTTTATGCAAGGTGTGCCTATTTCCTACATTAACAGCATTAGCAGCACCTCCATAATAAATAGGTGGGAATTGCTAAGCATCTGAAGAATATTAATGAATTTACAATTTGTCATGACCTGAGAATAACAGGAAGAATTTTTTATGTGTAGTAGATGTATAGGGAATATAGAATAATACAGGTAAAAAGCTTTCCAACAGACATGGTAGGTTTTCTTGGAATGCCCTGCCCTGATGCCAAGAACTTGGTGCTAGTCTCCAACCATTGATTTTTAGGAAAATCCAATAGGAGATATGTAGCCAATAGAACTTTGATATCCTTTAATAATGTACAGACTGCCTGGATTCTTTCCAGTATGATTTCAGACACACTATACCATTTTTCTGTTAGATATTCACTTTGAAAACAGAGACAGCAGGAAAACTTCCTTGCTAATTTTATTGACACTACAAATATTTTCCAGCTTCTCAGAGAAAATAAGTTTGTCTGTAGATTTTTGCAGACTGGAGAAAAAGCCCTAGTGGTTTTATTCTTTCCTCTCACAGATTTCCCAAAGCATTAAGAAATACACTTTGCTGGTGGTTTGTACAAAATGCCTGACAAATTTTTGCCATATTGTAATATGTTTTTTTCTTTCTCTAGTGTTTTCACAGGAAGGGACGCAGAAAGAAACAAGCTGAAACAAACACTCTCCAAGAAAAACTACAATGGAAAGAGATGCGACAGCAAATGAAAGCATAAATGAAAGCAGTACGAATGTGTTTACAGCCACCTAATGCTTCAACATCAGCTGATCCTCCATCTTGTGACCAACAATTTCTGCACTGATTCTTTCATGACTTCTCCTCAGCATTATGTGAGGAAGTACCCAAAGGCTTCTATACCATCTTCTACATGCTATGGAGCTGGAAGTATTAGAACAATGTAATCACAACATTCCATGTTCAGTATAGTGAAAGTGCCCTTTTACAAACTGATTATGATCAGTAGATCTGTTAACTGGTCCAAATCCTGGTTCTGAGAGTTCATTTCTCTCCTGTCTCAACACAGGAAGTTCAGTCTACAACCTATTACTCTTTGATCATAAGATAAACCCTATACTGCAAGACACAAGCAAGCATTCCTAGTAGGACCTTGGTTTCTGAACTTACTCTTTTTTGGCCATTTCAGGTGCCTGCTAAAAAGTAAAATTAAGGGATTGTTAGGGCAAACACTTGAACAATGCTCACTTTAGCTCAGAAACGTCTTTTGTGAGAAAGTTTACCTATACCCCCATTTTCTCCAATATTGGTATTCTGTCATTTTTTATTTAAAGGGAATTTTTTTCTCTGCTACATGATGGTAGATACTACTTTTTATTTTTCAAATGACCACAACATCTCTCAAGAGAAGAGCTTGACTAATAATGTTCTAAAGATATGTTCAGGTCCAGTTACAGCCCTTGTCCAGCAGCAGAGTATCTGGTCACTCACTCTGGTTCACCTTAGTAACTGGCACAAGCAGAGCACGGCACAAAGCCTGTGTCCATCACATGTAGCTCTGCAAGAGAACCAGCAGCTCAGAAAAGCCTCTCCTCTGCCTCAGTACACCCTTTGCATCACTGTTTAGGCAGTGATTTAAACAATCACTGTGTTTGAGATGTGTATAACGTGTGTACGAAGTCATATGGGGAGGGAGGGGAAGTGGAGAGGGTGTAAGAGAGGCAGAGATAATTACGTTTCACTCCCCTGCAGGAGCAAGACAGTCTTATCTTGAGTAACAATCCTGCTTTTTAAAGGTATTAATAAAACAAAATGTAAGGTATACCTGCTGTACAATTACAGAAGAAAAATCTAAAATCTCTCACAGTTTTATCAATATTTAAAAAGCACTGCATCTGCATAGAAACAGGCCTATTTTTCAGCTAAGAAACACCTGTAATTTTACACTTGTATTGAGCTCCATCCCTTGCAAGAACCGAAATGCTCACCTTTCCACTGCCTGCCTGATTTCACTGTCTTAGTGTAATGTTTAAAACACCACAGATACAAAATAATACAAGCATAAAGGGCATAAATGTTTACACTCAAGGGCTGTAAAGAATAATTTCAGAACAAGCATGCATAACTATTATTCAAGTTTTAATCTTCTACCCAAAAGCTCCACATATTCCAGATAATAAATAATTTTCTTTTAAGTTCCAGAGCTTTATACTATCAACTGAAGCTAAATCTAGACTGGATTAATGAAACTGTAGGCTAGAGTAAAACATCTGGGAAAAAGAAAAACTAAATACAGACTGTGTAAAATTCAAGCACACTGACTTCACTGCTTGTACATGAGAAGATATACTAATGGATTCTGCAGTACAATCTTTGATTAATATAAAACATTATGACTACATGACAGTTTAGAACAAACAACAATGCTTGACTTGGGAACAAAAAGGATGCTGAAGAAACTTATTTCAAACCATCTTCTTATTGCAGCTTCTGTCATCTGTAACCACTGGCACAGCAGACAACATTCCCAAATACTAATTTTGCGAGTTTATACCACCAATCAGAGTAGCAATTTGAGCACCTATAAATTCCTCACCTTCTGAAGTATTATTGGCAAGAAATATTTAATATTTGACTGCATGTATCAACAGTTGGATAAGACCTACTAATATGAAAAAACACATTTTGGGCATCTGTTCAAGACACCAGACCTTCAGATAATTAAGCTGTTAATCTCTAGAAATACTAGGATTGTTTAGGCACAAGCTATTAGAAGGTGTAAGGCAGTATATTCTCCAGTCACATTTTAAGTATGAACACCTTCGTATTTTCTAAGGCCCAACAAGGAAAAAAAAAAAAATACATTAAGATTTCATTCTAGATTATTCTTGTTACAATTTGACAAATTCTAATCCTATTTGTCTTAATTATGTCCAGGAAAGCAACATGAACAAGATAACAGACACAAACACGAAAAATAGTATTTTCATACCTTGAGAATGCAAGGCTTCCATAAACCTTATGACAATAGGTATCTTTAGTGGTTAGCAGGTAGAAAGGCAGGGAAGAAAAGAAAGTCTGTAATTTATCCAGCCAGTCTAGTTCCTAGCATGGAGTACTCAACAGATAAGTAGATGGCTTGCTCTTCTTTTTTATTTAAAGAGGGAATATTTACATCAGTGTGTATTCTACTCCCAGTACATCTCTCCTCCTCAAGGTCAAAATAATTGCACATAAATCAAACAAACATCGAAGGCCCTGTTGTTATGTTTCAACAATTACCAGAATCTGTGCTGTATACAGCTCGACCCATCTGTTCCATTTCACACTTTCACTAAACACTGAAAGTAATCCTACACTTAAAGTCAGTCCAAGGGTGATTTGGATTGAAAAAATTTAAACATGACCAACTTATTCTGCAAATTAAATGTGTATATACATCAACATAAAAACAATTGTTTTCAAAATTTCTGGGTTTTTTTCTATTAAAGAGACAGTAATTTTAGCTAGCAATTCACTACATCTTTTTCTATATGGCTTTGACAACTGTAATTTATTTTTTAAAAAAAGGAAACCCAACAACATGCAAAGTCTTTGGAGTTACAGACTACTACCTGCTCAAATGGTCATAGGGCAAAACTATCAAGAAAGGTATAATTTGCATTTTATTCACAAACACCACAAATTGTATTAAACACTTCAAATTAATTCTGTTTCAGGCAATATTCCAAGTCCTATGTTAGTGCTTCTTTTTCAGTGCTGCATGGGGAAAAGGTGTTATTACTTGGTTAGGTCTTAACGTTTTTCTTGCCTAACAGCATCTGATATAAATTCTGCACAGCACCTTTAGCATATTAAGCCAAGGCCTTTGCAATGTAACAAGAAAACAAAAAATTGTGCCATGCTTGAGCCTGTATGACATGAATTAGCAGAAGCTCCGTATTTTTCTTAATTAGGTCTCTCATTTATTTTAATGAGTTGCTACATCAAGATAACACATTAAATAATCAATCATATGAACACTTCCAGTTTGTTTTTTAAAGTTCTCTTTAAATTGTAATTATTTAAATGCTACCTTCTTTTTAAACAAATTGTGTCTGACTGTCAGGTAAACCAGAGACACAGACAGAAGTCCTGAAAGCACAGAAGTGACAGAGGAGTTGCTCTTTCCTGCACTGGCTGAGACAGCAGCATGTGCAAAGTGGCATTTTCCAGTACTGCTTTATCCTTCCCTATACATTTCAGTAGGTTTAGACCACACATTCATTATTAATTTTTCCAAAGTCTAAAGCTATTCACTCAACTGTATGACAAGGGTTTATTTTGGTCTATAAAACTAATCCTGGGACTGTACAACTAAAATAGCTTTTCACTGTAACAGGTGTTAGCTGATCATGAGCAGAGCTGGGCTTAAAGCTCTTAGCTGCAGCCACGAGAAATACCTCTCGGTGTTAAAAAGTCAAGAGCAAGGCCAAAACACCAACAGTGATCAGCATCAAGGGACTCATTTAATTAGAATGGTATTTTTAAAATTCTTTTTGTCTAGTCTTGTCTGGTAGCACTGAAGTTGTAACATTACATCCCTATAAATACAGAGTACCTCTTGTTGAATGTG